GAAGATGGTAGGCAAGCTGGATGAGCCCGAAGAGCAAAACTACGTGAGAAAGCACGCCCACCAACTAGCTGAAGAACTCGGTGTGTCGATGCGTGAAGCGGCCACCCGTATATTCTCCAACGCCTCCGGCTCCTACTCCTCCAACGTCAACCTTGCCGTCGAAAATTCCTCCTGGAATGACGAGAAATAGCTCCAAGACATGTACCTTAGCCGCAAATCCTTTGCCTTTGACAGTGACGCTCCAGGCATCGACATGACTGAGAAGTGCAAGGTCTTCGAAATGGCCCTCAGCACCGCAGACGCCACATTCCAAAACCTGGACTCATCATAGATATCGCTGACCGACGTAAGCCACTACTTCGACTCTGACCCGACCAATTTGGTGGAGAACCTCTGGAAAGATGAGAAGAAGCCGAGCTCCTACATTGCGGATACGACGACTGCGAACGCGCAGGTGAGGACGCTGTCAGAGACCGTGAGATTGGATACGAGGACTAACGTCAAATACAGGCCGGCTACACTTCATTTTCATTTTGTCCAAAAGAAAATGAAATATAGAATAGGAATTATGGTTGAGAGTGATCAGAGAATTTCTTGGCTGTATAAGTTTTTGATTGCTCATAGGTTAGTCTACAATTATGCTATAAATTTTCACCCAATTTGATTTATTTTTATTTTATTCTGTTGAAGGGTGCTTCTTCTCAACTTCCATTATATAAGTTTTACCCGTAACATTAACAAGCTACACGTAAATCGCTTGGCAACGCGTAACCTTAACAAGTAACCCGTAAGCTTAGCAATCAACGCGTATAACCTTAACAAACAACCCGTAACCTTAACAACCAATGCGTATAACCTTAACAATCAACGTGTAACCTTAACAACCAACGCGTAACCTTAACAACTAACTCATAACCTTAACAACCAACGCGTAACCTTAATAACTAACCCGTAACGTTAACAACCAACGCGTAACCTTAACAAGCTACACGTAAATTGCTTGGCAACGCGTAACTTTAACAGGCAACCCATAAGCTTAACAATCAACGCGTATAACCTTAACAAATAACCCGTAACCTTAACAACCAACGCGTAACATTAACAACCAACGCATAACATTAACAACTAACTCATAACCTTAACAACCAATGTGTAACCTTAATAACTAACTTGTAATCTTAACAACCAACGTGTAACATTAACAAGCAACCCGTAAGCTTAACAAGCTACATGTAAATCACTTATCGCTTGGCAACGCGTAACCTCTTGTCCAACCTCCCAAATTTTACCACTAGGCTAAGTGACCTAAAGTATTTAAATCACTCAAAATATATATATATACATATATATCCCAACCTGTAATCTTAACAACCAACCCCTAACCTTAACAATCGACCCGTAACCTTAACAACCAACACGTAACATTCACAATCCATAACCTTAACAACCGACCCTAACCAACAACTCATTTTCGTATACTTTTCAATTAATACTTTAGGGGAATTTCCCATTGAACCCTCTATTATCTTGTTTTTCACTAAACAACAAAAAATTTCATGGAAACGCACAGGAGTGAGGACTTAATTTCATGAAAATTTTTGTAAACTATGCGATGAGTTGCATCAAATTAATTACATCAACCTCCAGCCCACAAATTAATGTCACATATAATTTTACAAAATCACATTAATAACCGATCAATCCCCTCAATCTTATCCTCTACCTCCGAATACAGCTGTCTCAACTTCTCCAAGTTCTCCTCCGACGTCTCCCAATATCCTCTACCGCTCGCCTCTAAGAACGTCTGCATCATTTTCCTGAAGGAGTTCGGGTTCGTCTCCATTAACCTCTTCAGCATCTCCTCATCCTTTATGAACGTCATGTTCGCCTCCTCGTACACCAAATTGTCGACTTGCCCTGATGCTGTGGCTCGGCTCGTTCTGGGCGTTGGCGAACTCGACGACGATGAGCCTGCCCTTGGCGGCGACGAGGGCAGCAGTGAATTCTTTGGCGATGTTGATCTTTTTTTCACGGGATCAGCGGACGGCGGCGGTCGCGGGGAGGTTTCTGGGTGGTGGCCTGGTGGCCACGGCGGAGGAGGAGGAGACGGGGCGGAGGGAGCGGAGGCGGGCGGGGCAGGAGGTGAGAGGAGGGGAGGGGGAGGAAGGAGGGAGGGCGGGGCTTGTGATCTGGGGAGGAGAGGGGGGGTCTAGAGAATAGGGTATTATAGTTTTTACCTGTGTAAAAATCTTGGCTTTGTGTTTTGGGGCTCAGTACATAGTTCTTACGAATTTGGAGGGCTTTTAAGAGCGTTGAAAAAATCTTGGGGGTGGGAAGCACGTTTTCATTGGTTTGGAGCTGGAAGCAATTTTCCTAATTTTAATAAGTCACAAATACCTTAAGGGTTGATTTGGATTCAAGGATTTCATTTAATAATTTTTAGACTTTAATTCTGAGATGAATGCTTGATTGATTTGATATGATCCAAATTCTAAGACCGTTTAGTATCTGTTCTCATAATGCCGCATCCGACCCCGCCCCCCCCCCCCCAATGCTCCTTTCGATTTGTAAGTGATTCTCAAGGAATCCCCCTTAATCTCTTCGATTTGTAGTGATTTCTCAAGGAATCAACGCCGGGGACGTGAAGTGTAATCATATGCGTGGTGTCTATTAGCAGGCAAGTGCTCTAATCCAATTTCAGATGTTAAGAGCCATGCTTGCAGAAATTGCATATTTTAATATATAATTGTGGATTTGCTGCGTACCTGTAATCCCTTGAATAATTATTGAATGAAAGGGAAGAAAAAGAGGGAGGAAAAAAAAAAGAAAAAGAATAAAAAGAAAAAGAAGAAAATAAGTCCATACTCTTATTTAAACATCTGCTGACTAGATCTTGAAATGTTAAACACCATCGTCATACTGGTTCATCCAACTAAGTGGCAGTTTGATCTCAATGCTGGCAACACTCGCTATTTATAAATAGAAGAAGGCTGATCTTATAATCAACAACATGTTACGTTTGAAAGTTTGGATTGGCAGCAGAAAGGGGTTTGACATTGCATCATAGATCTATATAATCCTGAAACCACACAGATGACCGGACCTCTTCTTACATTTTAGAGAAAATGGCTAGTACTGATACTTGCACTGGCATTAGATACTACAAAATGAAAGCATGAAAGCTGGACGTCCTCATACAAATCTTACAGAAACACGCACAAGAAAAATTTGCAATCACAAAATCATGAAGTCTTGGGGAAAATAAACTGATAATTGCATTCAAAATTGACCCAATTGCAAACTCAGTTGAGGGCGTGACAGAAATAAACCATAATTAAAAAGGGGTGCAAATAATCACCCATACAAAAGAATTAAACGGAGAAACATCCAAAACTAAAGGGATACACCGTCATCTTTCACAACTCACCACAAGAAAGGGAGGGGGAAAACAAAGAAAAGGGAGAGTTCCAAAATCCCTCACCCTCTAATTTTCGATTCCTTTTACATTCTATAAATCATGGTATACAATTATAGTTCAATTTGGTCACCACCTATTTACAACAAAAACAGGTAAACCATGAACAAAGTACAACAAACTCACCAAAACCTCTTCTCCCCACCTTCATCAATTTCAATAATTCATGTATCCAATCTCCGACTGCTCGTGCCTTTCTTTAACCAAGTCATTCTAGGCCAGCCCGTGCGTGTTGGCAACTAGGAACTCTCGGCAAGCACCCAGATATATACCGAAAATATCAGTAATCGATAAATCAAATACTTATAAATCACTGTCACCTGAAGCTCTCATCTGGCAAAGTCCAAGAAATCAAGTGCCCAGCCGAATCTCCACTTAGCAAATGTTTCAGATCGCCTGTTAGATGCAGTGCAGTCACTGGATGCTTATGATACTTGAGCACTTTATGAAGCACCAGCTGATACTCTGGCAAATTTTCTCCCAATTTTAGCCCTCCGGTCCCACCATTCGAAGATGTTGACCTATGGCCACTACTCACGCTCGCTAAAGTTTCCTCTGTATGATGCATCTTATTCCATACCTTCACCGCTCCACTCTGGTGACCTGTTACATACCAGTTTATCTCCTGCCAATCTGAAAATGTCGTGCTTGCTACCGATAATATCTGATCAGATGGAAGTTGTGATGTGTTTACTACTGCCAGGCAATCTCCATTAATGCTCCAAACCGCTAGAAGAACTCCAGCAGCCGTCAAGATCTCGCCAGTAAGTTCATTAACATGCACGGCCGACACTGACACCGGAAACTCAGGCAACTGCCTTACAAAGACCAAATTCGTTAAGTCCCACAGAATCACCGTGCAGTCCTCAGATCCAGTCACAATTAAAGAGTAGGGTTGGCAAACATGGAGGCAAGTAATTCTGGCGGTGTGTGCCGAGAGGGCCCGCTCTAAGTGAAGCCGTCTCTGACTGCGGATCCCATCTTTTGAAAACTGCCATACCGAAATAACACCGTCATCACCTCCAGTAGCAAGAACCTTACCGTCATGGCTCACTCCGGTACATTGGATTTGGTTTCCACCATGAAGGCTTTCATGAGTCGACAAGAGCCGATCTTGGTCGTAACTTAGAATTCTAAGACTCCTATCAGGGAATCCCCATGATATGTACTTCGTATAAGTTGAAGGTTTTAGGAGGGTGTTTGATCCGGCGATAAGGATTTTTTCGTGAAACGTGACGATTTGGGATATTGATGAAGTGGACTTACGGATAAGTTGGGGAACAAGGTGGGCAGAGTAGCGGAGGGGATGTGGTGGGGTTTTCCGGTCGGTGCGGCGTTTGACATGGGGTTTGAGAAATAGTTGCTTTGGAGTTTGGCCGAAATGGTTGATTTGAGCAAGGATAGAGGCTTTCATGGCTGGATCAGAAACTGAGTCGATATCAACGCTTCCTTCGTATGTGTAATGATAGAAGACGTTGGTGGCTTCTTCAGCAGCCTGTGGAAACAAATACAAAGGTATAGAGATTGTATATTGGGATGTTATTATTATATATCAAAACTACTGACCTTTCCCCTTTGCTTGTACCCAAAGATAAGGTCTATCCAGTGATGCAAATTCTCAGAAACATAATCTGATTCCAATGCTTCCCTGTGTTTCCTTATGAACTCTCTGGTACTGCCCTTGGCCCATGGGGGTAGAACAACATCACCAACCTGAAGAACACAGAAGAACACAGAACTATCATTCACAGAAAAAGGAACTTAAAATTCAATGTCAAAAGAAAAAAAAAAGGAAATGTGGCAAAACACTAAGAGGCACTTTCTCCGAAAACTTTGTGGCATGCTCAAATGGCAGAAGACCCCTTCTGTTCAAATTTTAGTCAGTAGGGCATCCAGTTGGGACAATAGACAAGAATCAAGAATACCGCACGTTCAACATATTGGAAGTATACAAAGTGAATGTATATGATAGTAATCAATGTACTATTTGGAAATAACAGCAAGACTGATTTTGATAGTAATGTACCTGCTCTCCTGATTGCTTTACCCCCAAGTCAAGATTAAATCGATTTTCTAGAAACTCCGGCATGTAAAAGAACTCTGGTATTAATTCCTTCACATCTGAAGTGTTTCCCTTACCAGCAGCACTTAACCATGTATCTCTAACACTGTTGAATAGCCGATCAGCATGGTCAAACTGACCGCCTTGTAGAGTTTGGTTTTCAGTACTGAATGGAGGCAGTCTCAAAAGATAGAAAAGAACAATCCCAGCACTAGAATAGTGCGAACCATAGTGAAATTTTGGGACATCTGGATCATCCCAGCTTTCATATCTGAGCAAAAAAAGGAAAACATACACTACAGTTAACCGTGATGGGAAAGAAGATGAAAGCTTATAAGAATTTCTTCATACCACCATTCCCCTCAACCCTCTCCCCTCAAAAAAGCCTGCAACCAAACACAGAAAAACACAATCCCCAGCATGAAACACACAAACACACATAGGATGACATAGAACCAGCACCAGAAACACCAACATGAAAACACAAACAAAGAAAACAAAAACATACACACAAGAAAGCAATACAAATCTACCAGTCAGAGAGAGTTGTTCCCTAATGTGTACAAATGAGCACAACAATAACAACAAAGCCTCTATTCCAAATGTTTGGGGTCGACTACATGAATCCTAGTTTTTCCATTCCATTCTATTATGGGCCATCTCCTCTATTAAGCTAACCATAATCTTACTCTACTTAATTACCTCCAACCAAGTCCTTATAGGTCTACCTCTAAATCTCTTTACTCCATTAACTATAATTTAATCACTTCTCCTAACTGGTGCACTAAGAGCTCTACGTTGTCCATAGTCATACCACCTTAATCGATTCTCTTATTTTATCCTCAATAAAAACAACATCCAATTTACTACGAATGCATTCATTTTTTAGTCATTTAGTGTATACCTACAGGACCATCTCAACATTATCATTTCTGCTACACTCACTTTTTACATATGTTATTTTTCAGTTGCCCAACATTCTGATCCATAAAGCATTGTTGGTCTTATAACTGTCTTATAAATTTTCTCCTAAGTCTAACATGTACTCTATGATCACACAATGCTCCCAAAACACTTCTCCATTTTAACCATCCATATTTAATTCGACTGACACCATCATTCTTATTGAGGCGCACGCCCCGGGCGCAGGGCGCTTCTGCCTAGGGGAAATGCGCCCCGCACGAGAGGCGGGGCGCTGCACGCAGCGAGGCGCGCGCCTCGCTCGCGTCTCGCGTGCGCCTCGCACCTGCGTTATGTAACATACTCTTTCTTCTATTTTTTAAAATAATTTACATAATTACATATTTATATCATGTAATATACTCTTTCTTACTAGTTGCTAATCTATTTTTATTTTTTCATGCTTAACCTATAAAAAGAAAACAATAATTAGTAATTTAGTATACTTGTTTGCTAATTGTAACTTCCTTCTCTACTTAGCATGCTAACTAACAAATTATGAACATGTAAATATGTAATTGTTACATTCATTCTTTATCTTTTCATGCTAAGTAGCAAATATCAATTAAGAATACTAACTAGAAAATTATGAACAGTCATGTTTGTTAATTATATTTCATAGTCTTTTATGTGACAATTTATAAACATATGCTCATAATTGTTAATCACTTAATTTGATGATTTAAATACATGTTTCTTGTATCTTTTTTGTTACTTTAAAAATTCAGTTAGCATAATTTGATGATTTAAGTTGATATTCTCATAATTTTGGATGTAGGTAACTAATATGTTATTTATATATTTCTGTCTTATGATGTTAGCAAATATTAGTTTGAGTTATGCGCCTCAATTAGTGAGGCGCGCGTCTCGTTGTGCGCCTTGCGCATGGTACGTGTAAGGGACCTTTGCGCCCCGCATTGCGTCTTGCGCCTGCACCATCATGCCGAATGATTGATCCTAAATCGCGAAATTGATTGCTTTTAGATTTTTTTTTTTTTTTTTTTTTTATCAATATGTTGATTGCTTTTAGATTTTTTTTTTTTTTTTTTTGCATCAATATGTACAATAGGCTCTTTTCTCCTTCTAGTTTTACTAAAAATGCATTTCATATATTCTGTTTTTGTTCTACTAATTCTAAAACCTTCAGTTTTAAGAACTTGCTTCTACTTTAGAAATTATACTTATTCTAGTCTCGTCAACTTATATACTATATCATCAGCACAATAATATATATCATGGCACTTCCTCCTGAATATGCATAGTAAGTTGGTCCATAACTAAAGTAAAAAAAAGATAAAAGGCTTAAGGCTGACTCTTGATGTAAACCGATGGTTATTAGAAATGACTTAATTTCTCATTCATTAGTTCTTACTTTAGTTGTTACTCTGTCATATATATATCTTCAATCACATCAATATATACTTTTCTAAGACCTACCATATTACCTCTCTAGGCACTCTATTATAAGCTTTTTCTAGATCAATGAAAACCTTATGTAAATCCTTTCTTTTTTCTCTATATTTCTCCATCATCCATCTCAAAATATGTAAATGTTCCTTCGTTGACCTCCTGCCCGTAAAACCGAATTTATTTTCAGATACATTAGTCTCTTTTCTTAGTCTTTACTCAATTACCCTCTCCCAAAGTATGACTCATACCACAATAAGGAAAATTCAGAAAAGAACTCACTTTTCTCTCATACATTAACAAAATAAATGGGACAGTCCAATTTTGCTTTCTTGTGAAGGTTTCTCCCCTTGCCAACCTTGTCTGCACACTATTCAGAGGAAAGGTAGGAGGTAGATGTGAAAGATTGATTGTTTTTTCTCCTCTTTTCATGGGTATATGCTGGTGGGAGGAAGGAAAAGGGATGGGGTTGTGGGAGTGGAGAGATAATGAGCTAGGGCAAAATAATAATGCAAGCCTTGACAGGGTTACTCAACAAGAAAAACTCTCTTCAAATCTACGCATAGCCATTTTGTTTTTCATCTCCACTTTTCTTACTGTAAAATTGAGATAGAAAAACCCTATTATAAAAGTCAAGTTTCAGTTTGATTGGTGCATTGTAACTATCCGACATCTGCCAATGAGTACCAGTGGGGCTTCAAACCATACAGACTTACCGTCGCTTAAGAAAGTTTTGATCAATAAAGATCTATTGATTAAAAAACTTGAAGATGAAGTAACAATGATGTTTTCATACCAAATGTGGTATGTTTTTATATTATATGCTAAAAACACAATTGCAAAGAGAATTCAAAATATATCTAGCTAAATCCATTAGCCAAGAAAGGAAACAAATTAAATGACCCCATACCTGAGCTCCTACCTACCTGATGACCATCCTTGAATTATTATTAATAAGGGATCATCATTGAAAAGGGAGAAAACTACTAACCTCTTCTTGAACTCCTCTTCTCCCTCCACAGTTTGGCATCCCATTGGTTTATTAAGCTTGCGGAAAGATCTAGGATTTGTCAAATCCAGAATATCACTCTCGTAATCCGCAAGAACCCATGGGAAAACTGGATATTGAGTGAGATCGCTGTACCCACGGCCAGCAAGAGTATTGAGATGCATCAGGTACTGGAAATTACTGATTTCTCCATTCTGCCACCTCTTGGAAAAAGATTTGGCCATAATCTTGAAAAGGCGGCTGCCCTCGTTGTTGTCCTGTTTAGAAGTCCCGGAAATTGTCGTGTCCAACCTGTAAAAGAGTACAACATTTAATTACTTCAATATAGGACTCAGGATCCCAATGCAAGTCATAAGTCAATGATGAATAGGAGACAGAGATAACTCATTGATATCGACATCCACAACTGACTTGAAGAGTACTCTAAAAAATTGAATAAAGAAAAAATAGAACTAGGAAAACAATTTGATAAATTAATCTACAATGACAATCCACAAAATTAGTTCAAACAAAAGAGTATTATTTCTATGAGAAGAAACACAGCAGCTAAGAAATGAATTTCAAATAGACAATCACAAAAATCTAAATCTTTTTCCAATCAAAATGGGGCTGCCTGTTAAGCAATGTTTAATCAGACAGTCAAACTAAAAGCTTAGTACATCCTACATCTAGCTATCAACCTGAAGAAGTTAAGTGCTAAGGTAATTGTGCGCAGGATAAGAAATTTCCATTAAACCTAGAAAGTCAAACTACAAGTTACTGCATTGTTTAAGCTAGAACCTCATGCATCCAAGGGAAATTGCTCTAAAATTCTCCAAAAGAAACGATCATGCAGGAGTTTCAGGGGTTAGGTGGTCTTGGACTCTGGCTAAGGGGTAAGAGAGTTTGTGCATGATGGTAATCTTCATTGAGGAAATCCACTTCAAGGTAAGAGAAAAGCAAAGCGCCGAGTTGGAAAAAGAAACACAAATAGTAAATCTAACAAATAAAAGCATGATACATTTAATTACAGCAAGAAGCCACCCTTAGCGTTTATAAACTATAATGTGATAAATAGCTGGAAAGCCCAGCCTCCATGTCATGTTTTTTATAGATATGGTTACAGGCAAGGATGCAGGATAATTAATTTTAAGTTCGATCGACCCCCACGAATCAAAACCCAACCATAGTTGGTAAGGTCTTCGGTTATCTTTCTTATGTTGTCCATGATGGTAATCTTCTTTCAGGAAATCCACTTCAAGGTAAGAGAAAAACGAATTGCTGAATTTTTTTTTTTTTTTTTTGGGAGTGGGG